GTCCTCTTCTGAATTAAACTGAGGTGCCATAAAACTACTTTGAAATGCATGAAAATTTATTTTTAAAATGGCTACTGATCTTCAAACGTTAGCACAAACAAAAGGGAAAGTTTGGGACAATTTATCTAATACGTCTGCACAAGTTTAAATGAAAAGAACAGGTGATTTACAACTATACTCTGGTGCAAATTCTATTTGTACTAATGTGGCTTAGAGAGGTGACATCCCCAGGAAACTGTCCCCTTATTAGAGAAGGAACATCCTGGCTTTGTTTGCCAAGACAGTAACTAATTTTAATCTTATTCTCAACATGCTCTCTAGCAAAGAGGACCAAAGGAAAAAAAATCCTGCCACCTCATATAAAGCCAAAGGATAAAGCCAAAACTGCTGAATAAAAGTTTTAATGATTACTTAGACCTATTCTATGGAGACAAATCAGCCAAAACTGTGAACAAAACACTTTTAGACTCTAAAAAGAGCCCTAAGCAATCAGGTTAAGCTTCCATCTGAAATACATATTGCTGCATTTGGCTAGACAAGTTGCCATTTTGTTTTCATAGTTAAAACTTTTCAAAATATCTGAAATAACAAAGAGCTGAAATTAATAAGATCTAATCAAAAGAAACCTCAGAGTCCCTAAATTTTGAATCACATAATTAATCTATGAATACATCAGACAACCCAGAGACTACGAAAATATTTACACCATGATAGCAAACAACTACCCTCCATATTTTCCTCGTTTCAGAATTCTCTCTCTCATGCATGATCTTTAAAGCACTTTCTTCTTAACCTTTAGATGTTCCTTCTTTCGTTATTCTGTCACTGTGACTAGACATTTTACTCCCAGAAACAGAAATCCAATCGTTTCATGATTTATGTATTCTTCCTGGAAATTTAATGACTATGGAGTTGCACATTATCCCAGTGATATATATTCAATAAATATAATTAATGCAAGTATTTACATTCAAAAAATTACTGTTCCAAACACTTACAGATATAAATTATTTATAGAATTTCAAAAAACACACACTGACAAACACTTTAATGAGGTTTGGGACAATGAATAACTGCACAACAGGCTGTATACTTTCCCTGAAAAGAGACACTGGCCTTCACAAATTAAAGTGATAGATACATTCCTTAATAAGGACAATGTCCTAACTTATGCTTAATGGACTGGTAGATAAGAAAGGTTGGCCACTCTGTTATTTGTAATTTTTGTATTTTTAAATAATTGTATTCTACCATTAACATATTTAAAGTACTGTAACTTTATTCTATTGTAGTTTATTTCATTTTTTTTATTTTCAAGTGCATTATGCCTTTTTAAAATTTTTACTATGTGGTGTGAATTGTGAAGATCTTATTTTCAAAGTCAACATACATGTGAATTATAAATAAAATAGATGTACTGTTGTGAGTACCAGATATTCTGCAGCATCAGGACTTGATCCTACAATGAGACTAGAAACAATGCATCAATATTAACAATTTTACGGATATTTTTTTTTTAAAAAGAATAAATCTAATTGTAAATTCCTTTTTCTTCAGTATTGTTCAATGTAATTTTATGGCATTTTCCAGCAAACAATATGGGGAATACGGTTTTCTTTGTAACACTCCTCCACCCCTTTGTCATCTGCCCTGGAAATTTTCAGTTTATGGCAGGTGATGGTGGCTGCAACAAGAGGAGCAAAGGAGCTGGAAGCAACAAGAATTAAAGGGAAGGAGGTGCAGGAAGATGAAGCTCATGGCACTGCTGGTGTGCTGCCATGAAGAGACATGCAAAAAAAGAACTGGCCTGCCAGAAGAAGGAGATGGGTAGAGGGGAAAGTGTGGAGAAGAGAGGAAAAAGTGGAGTAGGATACATGGGAAAAAGAGAAAGGGAGGGGTGAGATGAGAGACAGAGGGTTGGAGAGGATGGCTGCATCCACACTGCAGAAATAATTTGGTTTGACACCATTCTGGTCTAGTACTACAACAAACTACGATTCTCAGAATTCCACAGCATTGTGCCATGGTAATCAAAGTGTTGTCAAACCAGATTATTTCTACAGTGTGAATGCAGTCAATAAGATGAAATAATGAATGGAGAGATGGACACATGAAGAAACAAAAAAGAATCTAAAGACTCTTCCACACAAGCCCCATTCTTGCAGCAGTCATGCTACTAAAAATAAATGCGAACATACAACTTTCAAGGCAGCCATCATTGCACATCCTCTCATTCACATGGCCAGGGCTACTGCCCCTACTGCTCTCTCTTCTTGACTCTCGCTTAACCCCACATCCCTGCCTTACACCCTACCCAGCATTCCCTTAGGAGTTTTTTATTCCACCACCACCACCACACTTTTCTTGTGCAATTCCAGAGCTCTGCTACCAAGTGAAAAGACAGAAAAGAAATAGGAAAAAAATTAAAGGTACTAAAGGTAATCCGGAATAGTGTGTGTGGGGAATACAGGGAAGGAGGGAACACTGATGCCAAGTGACTTGCAATTGCGCAACTGCCCTGTGAACAATGTTTCACCCATGGGGACTTGCATACTTGCCAGGTCATTGAGAGATCTCCCCCCCCCCAAAGTCAATGGAAACATTCATCTATGGGTTGGAGGAGGCATCTTGCAATGAGCATGGCCAATGCCTCTTCTTTCCTGGTGCAATCATGTTTTAAAAGCCACATGTAGTAATATCCTAAGAAGAGAGACTGCTGGGAAGGACGGTGTGTGTATATAATTAATTTTCAACATTTTATTATGTATGATTTGGACCTGAAACAGAGAAAAGTATATTAAAATATTTTTTAGTTACACAATACAAACATGTCATTCAGTGCAACAGCTGAATGCTTCTTCAGTACTGGTAGCAATGTCATAATTGATAAAAGATACTAATTATCTGATAACATGCCTGAGAGCCTGGTTCATTTGAGGAAGAGCTAGACTTTGGTGAAATTTAAAAATGAGCTTTTAGGAGAAAAATCTAACTTTTGGCTGGTTCTTTGAAAGATTTCAGAAAATGGTTCCTGTTTGGTATTGCATTTTTTTAGTTCGGACAGAGGTTCTGTTTCTTGTGAAAATGATTTTGGGTAAAATATAGATAAAAGTTATAGATAAAATAAATTACAAACTACATCAGAACATAACATTGAGAAGAAAATTAGATAATTGGGAATTTGGATTACGAAAAGAAATGCAGATGTATTTGAAAATAATTATGAAAAAAACATGGAAAAGAATAAAAGAAGATCTCAATAAGTGGTCGAATTTAAATTTATTATTATTGGGAAGAATAGAAACAATTAAAATGATGGTATTACCAAAGATAATTTTTTTGTTCCAAAATATTCCTGTAATTCTAAATGATAAACCGTTTGCATAATGGAAAAAAGATCTGACAAAATTCATCTGGTCAGGCAGGAAGTCTAGGATAAAGTGGAAGACATTGATTGATAAAAAAAAAAAGAAAGAAAAAAGAATGGTGGCTGCAACTTACCAGACTTGAAGATATATTATCACGCAAATGCACTTACTTGGATTACTGACTGGGCAAAATTAGAAAAAGACAGAAGTATCGCCTTAGAAGGTTTCCATTTAAGATGTGGATGGCACACATATATGTGGTATAAAAAGACAAAGGTACATAAAGAATTTGAACACCACTATATCAGAAGATCATTAATCAAAATTTGGTTAAAATACAAAGAAAAATTCTACAGAAAATTACCTTTATGGGTGTCACCACAGGAAGCATTCTTTGGAAGGTGGCAAGGATTACCAGATTGGTTAAGATATCAAGACATTTTAAAAAAGACAAAAAGAGGATCATACGAATTAAAGCCAATAGAAGATTTGAAAGAACTAGACAAAAATATCCATTGGTTTCCATACAAACAGCTGACAGATAGATTCAAAGCAGACTACAAAAAAATTGGGTTTGAAGAAACCAATAATGAATTAGAGAGATTGATATCGATCAGATAATGAATTAGATAGATTGGGTTTGAAGAAACTGATAATGAATTAGATAGAATGATAAAACAAAATGGACGAAAACTAACCTCTAAATATTATGAGGTATTGCAAACAAGAGAACTAGAACAAGATGTTGTAAAAGAGACAATGATCAGATGGGCGAAAGATATTGGAAGAGATATTGATTTAGAGAGCTGGGAATGGGCAAGAAAAAGGACACAAAGATTTACTCAATGTCAAGACTTAAAAGAAAACTACTTTAAAATGGAACAGCGATGGTATTTGACACCAGAGAAATTGGCAAAAATATATAAAACTGGTAATAATAGATGTTGGAAATGCAATCAAACTACAGGTAGTTGGTTTCATATATGGTGGAATTGTGATAAAATTAAAACATATTGGATTAATGTGCATAAAACAATAAGTGAAAAACTTAAAATAAAATATGAATTATTACCAGAAATATATCTATTGAATATGACAAATAAGATTTTGGAAAAGACAGAAAAGAAACATGGAAGAGTATTGTTATACATGATAACAACATCAAGAATAACATTAGCAAAGAAATGGAAGCTGATGGAAATCCCTTCAATTAATGAATGGCTTACAAAACTTATTGAAATGATGAGTGTGGATATACTCACAGCAAGATTGAATAAGCAAAATTTAGAAAAAGTTGAACAAGACTGGACCCCTATACTGCAACACTGTGAAGAAAACTTAATTGTGTAAGGATTTATATAAATGAATGTACTGAAATAATAATATTAATGTGCTGTGATATTAATGAAATATAAATATAAATGATCAAAGATGTTAAAGTTGGATTATAACACACAGAGGATGTCTTAATCTCAATCATTGGAGGAAAGTGATGATATGAAAATGTAACCAATAACTAGGTAGCCCTTAGCATTTCATGCCTTAGTTCTAAGTCATCAATCCGTTTTGCTATGCTCCACAGACCTGTTTAACTGGAATGCTTGGATGCAACTTCACTGTGTACTAATTTAGAGCCATCTTGGTGTAGTGGTTTCAGTGATGGACTAGGACTCTGGGGATCAGGGTTCAAATCCCTGCTTGGCCATGGAAACCCACTGGATGACCTTGCACAGATCATATTCAGCCTTAGAGGAAGGGCCAAAACCCTTCTGCACAAATCCTGACAAGAAAACTGTGTAATAGGTTTGTCTTAGGGTTGTCATAAATCAGAAATGATTTGAGGGCACACATCAACAAACACCAATGGCCTAACTTATATTTCTATGTAACTGATTTTATGAGTCAGTATATTCAGCACTGGTGCTGCATGATGGGGTAAGCTCCTGTCACCAGTCCCAGCTTCTGCCAACCTAGCAGTTCAAAAGCATGCAAATGCAAGTAGATAAATAGGTACCACTTTGGTTGGGAGGTAAGCAGCGTTCTGTGCAATCATCCTGGCCACACGATCACATAGTAGTCTCTGACAATGCTGGCTCTTCACCTTAGTAACGGAGATGAGCACCACCCCTTATGGTCGGACATGACTTGGCAACCTTGTCAATGGGGAATACCTTTACTTATATTCAGCACTAACTACTCACTGAAGATCAAGCTGCCCATAGACTGTTTTATAATGCTGATTATATCACCATCAACATCCCCTCTCCAACTTGAAGTCAAGCTGTTAGATGCTATCAATCAGTAGGGCAAGGGAAAGGAGGTGGAACAGGAAGAGGTGGAGACCACAGTAATATAGCAAAAGTCCTGTGGGGAACTAAATATAAAGTCATTGAAACATACATTTGAAGACCCACATTAATACTGAAGTAAACACTTGATATACATAGAAAATAGAAGGTTCTTGAATTAATAAAATAACTAAATATTATAAAAATGTTTCACATTGCAATCATTTCAGAAGCACTACTCATTTTCATCAGTGGCCACCCAGGATTTGTCTGCAGAAAATAAGAGCTCCTTGAGATGTTTCAGTTGAAGAGTACAATTTCTTGAGAGCTGGTGTGGTGTGGTGCACGGCTAACAGTGTGAGTTAGGAGCTCATGGAAGTCCTTAGTCCAAATCTCACCTCAGTTACAAATATACTAAGTTGCTGCCAACTTCTTTCTCTCAGTTAGGGGGCATGCAGACAGCGAAAAACGCCATCCTCAATCCCAGGAAGAGGAGGGGTAGCCGGATGCTGGGCGCCCCATCCCCTTCCTGAGGACGTCATTGGAGCGATGGCCTGTCCACATGACGGATGCTCCAATGATGTCCTTCCGGCTCAGCGTCCAGACACACTGAGCCAGAAGAGACGCCAAAGAGGTGCCCCATGCCTCTTGTTGCACCCCTTACATGGCTTGCGGAAGGAGCGTTATTTCAGCACTCCTTTTGCAGGTGGTGAAAGGGAGGATTGGGGCCGAGGTGTCCGGCATCCTCAGCCTCAATCCTCCGCTTCCGGGGGAGGCCCAGGCCCGTCTGCATTCCCCCTTTGTCTCAAAGGTGCTAGAAGATTTCTTTATATATCGTCTTAAACAAGCCACTGTTTTCTCAGCTTATTCTCTGCCCTAGCTGCAATGCAGTGAAGGCAACCGTGGCCTACCTATTCAGTTCAGGTCAAGGTCCAAGGTCCTTAAAGAAAACACATTGTTCCACAGGGTTGTAAATGCATACTCTGTGAAACAAATAGAGAGCCAGAACATTCCTCATAGACAGTGGTCCCTTCTTCACTGTGAAGACCTCCATCTAGGAAGAGCCAGAGATGATGGAAGATATTTTGCTGTCTGAAGCAAAGAATAAGATGGTGTGCCCTTGAATTACATGAAGAAAAGCCTACCAGAGAGGCAGTGGTAATGGGATGGCATCCTCCACCATTGCTGAGGGTGGCAAGCTATTTGGGAAAGAAAGGGAGCAGACTGACTGGCAGTCAGCTTTCTCTTCTAGTACCTTACTGTTATCTCCTAGCATCACCCTCCCTCATGGTAAGGACATAACTCACAGCTGTGTAAAGTAATCCAAGGTAATTGGTTCCACTATCAAATTGCTTTCAGAATTTTCTTCTCATAGCTGAAATTTTCCCTCCTGTAATTTCATAGAATCACATAATCTGAGAGTTGGATGATACCACAAAGGCCATATACTCCAATCCCCTGCCATGAAGCAAAAGCACTCCTGAAAAATGCCCATCCAAATGAGAATTTGCCACCCTTCAAGACAAGTCTATTTCACTTTCAAACAGCTCTTACACTAAAGAAGTAAAAACTCCTTTTACATTTAGCTCTGCCCTTTCTGAGGCAGGAGTAAACAAGTTGTCACCCATTTCCATATGACATCCCGCCTGGTGTTTGAAAAGTACTCTTCTGTGTCTTTTCCCTTTGTTGACTCTCCTCCAGACTAAACATGCCCAATTCTTTTCTTCTTAGGATTTGTTTCCTGTATCACTGACACTCTTCATTGCCTACCCTGCTCCTTCTTCTGTACCATGCCATTTCAACATCTGGTTGAAGTTCTGTCTTCCTATTGAAATAACATAGTGTTTAAGAGTTTAGCTACAGGACACAGTTACAGAAGTTTGATACCAATTTAACTTCCAGGACTCCATCCTACGGAATCCTAGGGTTTGTAGTTTCAAGTAATTAGAATTCTCTGCAAGAGGTCTTGAGGAGTATCTCATCAGGCTACAAATTTAACCTTCAACTCTCAGAGGAGATCTATGGCTTTCTAGACTCTGCCACTTCAGATTCCAAGGCAACTCCATGTAAAAATTAAAATGCCAGTACTTATTTATTTGTTGTATTTATATCACATCTTTCTCCCAAAGTACAGCATTCAGGGAAGATGAGATCAATATAAACCAAGTCAAACAAATACCGTATGTAAAACGTAACTTATATTAAATACACAATCAAAAACATATCAATAGAAAAAAGAACCACACCCACCTGGTTAAACCTTGTTCAGATGCAACCCAGTTTAACTGCAAAAGCCCACCTAAATAAAAGTTTTTGCCTGTTGGCAGAAAATCAAGGAAGGAACCAGCCCAGCTTCATGTGGCAGTGAGTTCCACATGATGGGAACAGCTACCAAAATAGTCTTCAGTTGCATCCCCACCAAACACAGAAAACAGGCATGTCAGGGAGAAGATTAGATTAAGCACCTCTTTCTTAAACATACTTTTCTGTGTGAAGAAAAAGCTTTTTGATATGGATGAACCTTCAATCATGCAAGTATCTACCCACTAGCCTGTAGTCTGAAGTGGTACACTTAAAGAAATTATGCAACAAGGAATACAATAAATCCTGAGAATAATCTGAACAGTACAAGAAAATATTTTCTTACTAAATAATAAGCAGATTTTAAAAATAAATAAATAAACTTACTCATTCCATGGGGAAAGCCCTCTCTCCCTTCTTTTCTCTGAGAGCAACTGGAGAAGTTGATGAACAGAGATTCAGAGAAAATCCCTCCTGTTGATTTCAGTGGGAAGAGAAAAACAACATTTGATTATTAATTGTTCTTTTAAAATCCCATGGTCAGAAAACTGGTTGATTGACATTATTGAGGGAGGTCCTGATCTGGACTAAAAGTCAAAATGAGCGTAACATTAATTTTGGTGGGGTTTTTTGCTAAATATTTTCAATAACCTTGCCATATAAGTGTGTAAGATAGTCATGCATGGGGAGGGTAGAATGTGTAGAAATCTGCATGGATGTGACTTAAAATAACATGCAAGTTTACAAAACAGGGCGAGCATGGCATAGTGGTTTGAGTGTTGGACTACAACTCTGGAGACCAGGATTTAATTCCCAGTGTGGCCATGAAACCCACTGGGTGACCTTGGGCAAGTCACACGCTCTCAGGCTCAGGGTAAGGCAATGGCAAACCTCCTCTCAACAAATCTTGCCAAGAAAACCCCATATTGGGCAGCCTAAGTTAGAAATGACCTGAAGGTACACAGCAAACACCAATTACAAAACATGGCTACAACAGGCATTACTTTCTTGCACGCACCCTGTTGATCTAGTGTTGCCCATTTGACTTCCCAAAGTCCGTCCTTTCCCCTAACAGCCCCTTGGGTCTCATTTTTCCTTTTCAAATGCTTCCTACAATTTCCTTTCCACCCTCCCAACCCCATGCCCTGCCCCAGTAACTTACAAATTAGTTTAGTCTGTGTTGTCTAGCCTTGCCAAGCAATTGCTTTTCTCCCTCTGGATAGAGAATTCTTCTTCCTCAGTGCTCAGTGCCTCCCTAAATGCTAAATCCTCAGTATTGCAGTTGTCTCCCTCTGGCTAGGAAAAGCAGGGGTGGAGCTGAGACTAGGCAAGGGCTTGGTTGGCTCCGGGGATGGCAAACCATGGCAGTGCCAAGCCACTCAAAAGGTGACCTGCCTGAGAGAGACACTGCAGGACAACTGGAGGAATGACCGCAATGCTCCTTTAGTCCAGCTCTCTGCTTTTATTCATAGGCTGCATCCACATTACAAAATTAATGCAGTTTGACACTGCTTTAATTGTCATGGCTCCATCCTATGGAGTCCTGGGATCTGTAGTTTGTTGTGGCATCAGAGCTCTTTGACAGAGAAAGCTAAATATCTCACAAAACTACCACTCCCAGAATGTCACAGCATTGAGCCATGGCAGTTAAAGCAGTGTCAAACTAATTCTGCAATATAGATGCAGCCCCAATGAGATTTTTAACCCACCTTTTTAATATAAATCCCTCTGACATGTCCTTACAGTCACAGACATAATAAAAAAGCATACAAATTAGCAAAACAAACCAAACAAACAAAATGCCTATCATTGTAAGGCTGGCTGGAGAATGTGTGTGGTCCTCTAGATGTTTTACAGTATCCTTCTGCTCCCACCAGCCTATACTCAAATGTGATGGATGATGGATGCTGCAGTCTAGCAAGATCAGGAGGTGGAATGTATACAGAGCTTTCATTGTGTGAGAAATGCTGGGGTACACAGACATATCCCACTTTGTTTACAAAGGACACCAAAGATTTCTCAATTGTAGTGATTGATTTTGCTTTCTAGTAAAGAATAGCAACTGCTCACATATGGAAGAAAATGAACCCAAAGAGGGTGGTGGGCAGGAAATTAA